ATTGTGAATAGTAGTAGTAAATTTTTAGTTATTGGTGTGCTCATAGTAAATTAGTTATCTGCAGAATTCAAGTAGCATTCAACAAATAATAATAGTTGAGAACCATCTAATAAACTAAAATTACCTGAAGAAGAAAATTATCTTGCAATGCGCAGTTGAAATCTTCGATGATGAGGACCTGTGAAATTTCAGATAAACTGAAATCAATGTCAATTGTCCTCTGCAGATGATCATATTGCATATCATCATAATTAATAAATGGTTTGGCACAATTAATATTATATATATAAATCATAACTTAAAGAAAATCTGCCACAAGCAGAGGCCGAATGAATATAAAGAATTCAAAAACTCACTAGCTTGCTCTTGTTAGCAATCTCCATTCACTACATTAGAATATGAAAATTTCTTCAACACACAATTGACATGACATGCATTGATGTAGAGCGTAGTACAATTGGGTCCGTCATCTTATCTAAGGCAAATCTATGGCCTCCATGGATTGCTGTGCTGTGCTTTGTTGTGTGTTAGTGTAGTACAGACTCATGTACAGTAGCTATTTTCGCCGGCATGGTCAACTGGAAGGTGGAGATGGTGCGCAGTGGCAAATCGGTAAATAAAAAGTCGGCTCGTGTATGTTTAGTAAAATAGATGACACTCCATTTGTTGTTTTAAATTGTATTTCATAGCATTAATACCAAAATTAGTAAATTATTAATTAAAAATATGTAGGATTAAATGTGGTACTAGAAAAAAAATAATAATAATAAAAAAATCAGTTTTGTTTGTTTCAATTTTATCGATTGCTCCAAATCTCATATCAATATAGTAATTTATTAATGATAAATTTTTTCTCATCATGTTTTATTTTTTTAATTAATCTATTTTGTTTTTGTAATATAAGATTGTATGTCATACTTTGGTTAAAATGCTAAAATGTCATACTTTGGTTGTGATGTATGTTGTTTTATAAGGTATGACATTTAATTTTGAAAGTATGCACAAAATATGACTAGTCTAATTTAAGTCTTCTTAATTAACAACAGTTTATACTGCAAAACTATATATCTTAAGGAAGCATGGTGAAAGATGTTGTGGGTTAAAGATATTTGTGTTTGGAGCAAGGATTTGGTTTTATTTGTTAAGGCTCGAGTTCGAGCCAAATAAGTCGGGCTCGAGCTTGTTAAGTGATGCAATTGAGAAACGGTAAAGGGTATAAATGTTCATTAATGCACAATAAATAAATAAATTTAGCTCAACTCAACTGCATTTTTAACAAATAACTTTAATTCCTTTAAATCACTTGAACACTTTCTACCAGCTTTATGGGAGCATATCTATATCATCATATTGTCACATCGACAAATTTCACATATTTCAGTTAAAAAAAAAAAAAATTACATAATTTAGTTCGCAGCCCTCACTATCCTCCCTATATATTATTACCGAATCCGCTAAGCCTACGTGACTCCTTCTGATTCTTCGGAATCCTACTTGACAAAGAATCATGCTTCCTAATTAGGTTTGGACAAATAATATTGATATATTAATAATTAATAATTTAGGTTTGAACATTCTATAAATATTGTTTAGCTAACTTAGGTATTTTAATATCACTTGTACAAATATAACCCTTTATTTCTTTGTAATTTTACATACTGGGGCACTAAGTGCTTAATATATCCATGACTTTTGATTTGTTTCGTTCAATTAGCTATTGAATTATAAATGTATTTTAAAAGTCGATAACTTCTGTATTTTGTATCGGTTTTACATATATAATATATCAAATTAATCATCTTTTGATGATCTTCGATTTGACATCCATATTGTATATATGAAATAAATAAATTATATTTATATTTATAATAATAAAAAATAATAATATTTATTAAAATTCATTAGAAAAATAAAATTATATCTCAACTGATATATTTATGCTTAATGTAGTTATATGTTGTAAGTTAAAAAAAAATTATATTAATATAACACATGTAAGTTGCACAAATAAAAAGTGTCATACTAAATATAGAATAATATATATATTTTTATAAAAAGTATTTAAATTTTCAACTATTTTTTCTCATTAATTTTAGATTTTAAGAAAAAATTAGCAAGCACGTGTAATACACGGGCGTTGTACTAGTTTGTGTATGATATCGGTGGGCTATTAACCCAGACCTACATTTTTTTTATTTTTTATTTTTGATTAAAATACATGTATATATGTTATGAAATGTCATATTATTTATTGATATTGTATATATAAAGATATGATATTTTAGGATAAAGATATATATTTTTATTGAAAGTGTATAATCCTCCCTATATATAATTCCCGAATGTACTGAGCCTACGTGGCTGCTTCTGGTGTTTCGAAATCTTACTTGGCGAAGAATCATGCTTCGTAATTAGGCTTGGACAAATAATATTGATATATTAATAATTAATTATCTAGGTTCGGACATTCCATAAATATTATTTATCTAACTTAAGTATTTTAATATCACTTGTACTAATATAACTCTTTAATTATTTGTAATTTTACATAGTGAGACTCTAAGTGACTAATATATCTCTGACTTTGATTTGTTTCCTTCAATTAGCTATTGAATTGTAAATGTATTTTAAAAGTTGATAACTTTTGTATTTCTTATCGGTTTTACGTATACTATATATCAAATTAATTATATATTAATAATTAATTATCTAGGTTCAGACATTCCATAAATATTATTTATCTAATTTAGGTATTTTAATATCACTTGTACTAATATAACCCTTTAATTATTTGTAATTTTACATAGTGAGACACTAAGTGACTAATATATCCTGACTTTGATTTGTTTCCTCCAATTAGCTATTGAATTGTAAATGTATTTTAAAAGTTGATAACTTTTATATTTCTATCGGTTTTACGTATATTATATATCAAATTAATCATTTTTTTGATGATCTTCGATTTGACATCTATGTATGAAATAAATAAATTATATTTATGTTTATAAAATATAAAATAATAATATTTATTAAAATTCATTAGAAAAATAAAATTATTTATCAATTGATATATTAATTTTTAATGTATTTATATGTTGTAAGTTAAAAATTATTATAAAATATAACACATATAAATCGCACAAATAAAAAGTGTTATACTAAATAATATATATATATATATATATATATGTTTGTAAAATATATTTAAATTTTTAACTACTTTTTTACATTAATTTAGACTTTAAGAAAAAATTAGCAAACACCCGTGTAATACACGGGTGTTATAGAAATTTCATACCTTAACTTATACTATAAAACTTCAAAATTTTCTATATTTGTTATCCATTTATCATTACTATTTTTTTCCCAAAAGAATTACCACATAAATGGCCTAATAATTAGTTGTATGGTTTAGAGCATCTCCAATGGAAATTGTATTGTGTAACATGGAGAAAGAAAATTAAAAAATTGTGTCTCCAATGGTTAGTGTTAATTGTTGTATCATTTGTGATGTGTAAAATTGTAATTGGTTGAAAAAAAAAAAGATAAATTGAATAAATATTATAATATATAGTAGAAGTTGTCTAGAAGGGCTTCTACATCTAGAAAGCCTTCTAGACATAATCCATGCCACATAAGTTATTTTGTGCCATGTGGCAAAAAAATAAAACATTGGAAAGACCATTGGAGATGCTCTTATAGAGGCTTCTCCCAATTGTCCCGGATGCGGGGCCCATTTTTACGCCATCCCAAGGTGGACAAGTGGCAATGGTCCCACACCCTTATCTGCTATTGCCACTCCACTAATTATTCGTCGGACAATATTTAATTGCCTTTTAATTTTGTTGTTATTCACTCGTTAACTTAAGAACCAAAGAAAAAAAAAAAACAAAGTTGGGCGTGAGCAAATGTAGTTCGAAATTGCATTGAATTTTAAAACATTGAAATACCGAACTTACCTAATGAATAATCCAACCGCAGCCAGGGGCGTAGCCAGAGTTTTTTTTCAACTGGGGCTGCAAAATGTACTGAGGCCATTTGAATCGAGTTGTCCCATTACATAATTTTGTTTGACATGTGAAACTAACTTGTGTTATATATTGCACATGCTCAGATAAAAAACTAATTGATTTTTCCTATAAAACAAGCCGAGTCGAGAGTATTTAGCAATCAATTCGGTAAGAATTCTGGGTTCCGGTCTACATAGTCAGTGACATGCGCCATTTTTACATGCATTTTACAGTGATTTTCGTTCCCGTTTAGTTGTAATTTGATATATATTGTTTATTCTAATTAATTTTATTAAGCGATGCCGATGTATTTTATTTGTGTTTTAATAGAAAATGAGATTGGAAATGGAGTGAATCAATCAAAGAAATAATTTATAATTTTTCACGTACTATTTAACTTTCTATTTTATCCTTAAATGCGAATTTATTATTTTTATTTCTAACTGATGCTTCTTAGACCATTTGGTTGAGTTGAAATTATAGTCTCTTTGACGGTTTTTAAGATTTGATTGATTACTTATTAATTGAATAAATAAGGTAACGAGCATTTGGTGGGAGTATAATATGAATCACCGTTATTTATTATTGTTTCATACTGTTTCTCGCTTCTTAAAACCTATGAACCATTAATACAAAAGAAAAAATAGAAGAAAACAAAAATCTTCTACTGCCCCATACAAGTGTTACAACGTTGCATGATACACTATTTTAATACAAAATGATTAAACAAAAAGAGAATCGTAAACACATAAATAAAATTAATAAAAGTAAATTGTATTAAACAACAAATCCAACTAAATATATATGTGTGAGAATTAGCTCTAGAAAATGATAAACAACAATTAAATAGAAAATAAACAATCATATATATCGTATTTTATCATTCTATTTTTTTAATACAAAAGAAAAAAGAATCTATATTTTTTAATAGCATGTAATGTAATTTATTTATTTATTCCCGTAGAATGTTACTAGAATGGGTTCTATCTGGTTTCCTTACGGTTTCGGTTAAAAAAAATGCCTTAATTAAAATGAATAATTTGCACAATTTATGGAATTACGAGAGAGAGAGAGAGAGAAAAGATATTGCTAATTTGATTTCTCTTTCCATACAACTTGAAGTTTATTAATTAGGTTTCATGAAATATGATTTCACATAAAGTTATAAATAACTAAAAATTTACATAACATAAGTGCTAATAAGTTTGAAAGCTCATTAAAATAGAAAACAAAGTCAAACAAGGTACATATATGTACTTACGCCAAAAATAAATTGAAAAGCCATTTAAGGCCCAATAAGCTATCTTTTTAATATTTAAGCTATCTTTCAAACTTGAGCATCTAGTTATCATCTCTAAACTCATTCAAAAACAGGAACATCCGCCATTGATGAGCAGAAGCTCCAAATCGGATTCTGTAATTTTCTATGAACTTCATTTGAAATTACACAATCCAAAATTAAATGGGGCTTAGGAAAAAATTAGATGGGGCTAGGTAAGTAATTTTTTTAAAGGTAAAACTACAATTTTATTTATTTATTTTTTTTTGACATGGGGCTGGAGCCCACCCTAGCCCATGGGTGGCTCCGCCCCTGACCGCAGCGTAAAATAGGAAAAAAAAATCGTTTTTTCCAACACTAGAATAGTTGAATTGAATTACATAAAAATGCACGATTCGATTATTGTGCATATTAAGTAGGTACTCGATAAATTAACGAGTTAGAAATCGAACTCGAGCTCCGTTCATTTATCACTGTTAACGTGCCTTAACGAGTTGATATCGATCTTTAACGGTCTCAAATTTAAGAGGAGATTGGATCGATGGAGACGTAGGATCGATAGATAAGAAACACATAGAAGAGGGCGAGTAAGGGTGATAGTCCAAAATAGGGCTGTATGATAAAACTACATAAATGCAATTGAGCGATATCACGATTATCAAGTGAATTATTAAATAAGTGGGCTCAAATGGACCTAGGAGTGTAAATAATTGGTTCATCAATAAATATATCCCGCTTTGGCCACAAAAATCAACATTGCCTGGTTTCTTATACATTTGTATTTAATTTGGTTTGATTCAGGGCAAAAACGCACTGAATCAAAAATTTATTAAAGTCAAAGGTTGTAAAAAATAATAATCGAATCGCACCAAATGATGAAAAAGAAAAAGAAAAAAAAAGGAATGCAAAATTTTTCTCATTAAAAAAGTTGAATTGAATCACACCGAATTGCTCGATTTTTAAATATTTGCTTGATTTTGCTTAACCCTACTCTAAACCTATGTAATTCACCATAAAATAAAAAAAAAAAGTGGAAAAAGCTATTTGTACAACTTTATTGTACAATATTCAATGACAACATGACGTGACATGATACGGGTGGTTCAGATGCAAATAAATATATGGTTGAGATTTGAGTTAATGCTATTTTTAATTAAGTTGTCAACCAATGTTGTAAACTACAATTGTACATGTAGCATTTTCCAAAAAAAGTTTACTTTGGTCATTCCACCCCATGGCCAGCGGCAGCATAGCCTCTTTAATCTGTCAATAGTCTTCAGCTGTCACACTCTCTCACAGAGCACTCTTTTCTTCACCAGTCATCACGGTGAACAGTGTTCAAACCCCTTAACATAACAGAATTTATAAAGGCGAGAGGAAAAAAAGAAGCTACATTATCCTACTCCCATCATAGCATTGATCTATTTTGGCCGTTGCTTGCCCGCGCATTTTTTCCCTATATTGGTCAGTAATCAACCCTTTTTGCGCCGCTGCAGTTTATGAGTGTTGAAAGAGCTCGAGCTGTACCCAAAATTTTAGGCTGTATTTTAGCTGGGGACCCCTTTCATTGCCTTTTTCTGGGAAAAATAGTTTATTCGAGAATTTTATGTAAGATTCAACTTGGGTTCTGTTGTGGTGTATGTATAAACTAGCCTCCTATTTCGGGGTTTCGCTGCGGATTTTGGCTGATGATGGGCTATTTCGTATCTTTTTCCCTTAAGGTTGAAATGTCTATTCGAATGTTCTGTTTGCTCGTGTGTGTTTGCGTGTATGTGTGTGTTTGTATTGATTAGATTGCCATTTACAAGCATTTCTCTAATGGGTTTGTGCTTTTTGTGAGATTAGTTTCGAGGTTGCCATCTTCAGCTGCTGGTATATTATGATGCTTTGGTTCCTTTTTTCTTTTTTATTGTGAAACATTTTGTTGCAAAGATTTTGGTTCAGTGTATAGATAGCAGCAATTCTAATGGAATGAGAGTTGTTTGTATGCACACTGGGTTCTTCTATTTTTAAGGCATCATCAAATTCAATACTCAATACGTCAGTGTATAATATGTTGTCTTAACTGTAAGATTTTTAAAATTTTCAGCTATTTGTTCTACTATCAATTAGATTTACGGCTTGTGCTCGTGTCTTTCAACTTTGACCAAAAGAAAATGTTTGTTCAAAGGTTATTACCAAGGACTAGAACTGATAGAGTGAAGGTTGAATGAATGGACTGTGTGAAGATATTTTGAATTTCCACCTTTTATTTTAAAAGGGACCTGACTTGCCGAGCAGCGAGCTTTTCCGGGGAAGGGGGGAAGGTCCAGGAAGGGTTTAAAACTCAAGTACTGAACTTGGAATATTGTTCCTCTTGGCAGGTTAGTTGTCTCTAATCATGAGAGGATCCTTATAATGTTACATGTTTATCAGAATATGCAAAGCATGGTGGGATCAGTTCCTCTCACCGAGCAACTGCCTACTGCTCGTAAGCTCTCACTAAAAGAAGAGATCAAGAGAACACTTGACCTCCAAGAGTCCTTGGACTGGGGCCCACGTGACTTCTTCCCGCAGGATGAGGAAGATAGGCCCACCTTGTTTCGTGGGGCGAGCCACCCACCCGAGCCCTTCGACACCGACCAAATCAAGGGCCCGTTTCTTGTGGACCTCTTGAGTGGGCTTAGTGAAGACGGCAAATGGGGCTACGTTAATATATGCACGTGCAAGCCTCACAAGAAAAACGACCCTCGGTGGAAGGCCGTGCTGGCCATCCAGCGGCGTTATGGTAAATTGGGCGTGAGCCACTTTCGGCTGCTGAGGAGGCTCGGGAGTGGGGACATTGGAAGCGTGTACCTGTCGGAGCTTTGCGGGACCCGTTGCTTTTTTGCAGTGAAGGTGATGGACAAGGCATTTCTCGCCAGGAGTAAGAAGTTAACAAGGGTGGAAACAGAAAGGGACATATTGCAGCTTCTGGACCACCCATTTTTGCCGACCTTGTATGCAGATTTCGAGACAGATAGGTTCATTTGCCTGGTTATGGAGTACTGCCCTGGAGGAGATTTGCATACACTGAGGCAAAGGCAGCCTGCAAAGCATTTTCCAGAATATGTTGCTCGGTATGGATGTTGTGTTTTTTGTTCTTTTAGAAAATAAAATTACTGCAGAGTCTTTCTGATGCATTCGGGTCTATCTTTATCTTTGGTTTTGCATTGCTGGTGCTTGATACTGACTCTATGTTGGGATTTTTTGTATTTTTTTTTTTATGAATATGTGTTTCCTTCATTTTTCATGATGGACAGAATCCAGAAAGTGAGGTTGATCTAGAAAAATGAGGACCTGAGAAATCGCATCTCACAAAAATTATGAATTGAATCGGGAGTTTGGATTATCAGATTAGACCAGCATTTTTCTCATTATTGTCCATGTCTGAGTATCTTTTACTCTTTGCTTGCCTTTTCCCAAAAATTTGGACCGATGTTGCTATAATTGCATCAGCATAAGCAAGCCCGTATGTCTTGATATTCTTTTCATGTTAAAGTTTTATATGTTTTGAATCCTGGAATCTACTATTCACTTTACTACTTGCAATCCAATTCATTACATTCACCTATAGATTTACCATCTGGTTTGCTTCACTCGAGTAGGTTTTATGCGGCTGAAGTCCTACTAGCGCTCGAGTACCTCCACATGCTGGGAATCGTATACCGTGACCTCAAGCCCGAAAATGTTCTCATTCGAGACGACGGCCACGTCATGATTTCTGATTTCGACCTCTCCCTGAGATGCGCCGTCTCGCCAACCCTAATACGAACAACCGCGCCAGACCCACCCAAACGTGGGCCTGCAGTTCTCCTCCCTCGAATCTTTCCTAAGAGGAAGAAAAAGCCCAATGCCAAGGCCCAACCCAATCCCACGGTCGACTGGTGGATGTTCGGTATTTTCCTTTACGAGCTGCTGTACGGGAAGACACCGTTCACGGGCCCGGGAAATTGGGCCACACTGTTCAATGGGCTCAGGCTGCAGCTCAGATTCCCGGATTCTCCCCCGACGAGCAGCGCGTGCCGGGATCTTATCCGTAGGCTGCTCGTCAAGGAACCAGAAGGCCGACTGGGGGCAAAACGAGGAGCTAGTGAGATAAAGCAACATCCTTTCTTTGAGGGTGTGAATTGGGCTTTGATACAGTGCAGCACGCCACCAGAATTGTCGGGCCGGGTCGTGAATGGTATTGGAAACGGGCGGGTTGGATGGATAGGGCCGGGAGGTGAGGGTAAAATGATGGTGGGGATGGATTTGACATCTGAGGGTAAATATGTGGATTTTGAGTTCTTCTAGTTTTAGCCTTTAGGTTGATGGGTGATCAAATTTAAAAGGGTATTTGAATTTGGCGGGTAAAAAACCTAAATCAGATGGGCCTTCTGTGAAACCATAAGGTAAGGAAGGTATCAGTGTGTCCTGCGGGCCTTGAGGCACAGCTCATTTTCCACTTACTATACACTGATCGTATTGTGTTTTTTTTTTTTTTTTTTTTTTTTTTTTT